AACCTTTTTTTTTTTTTCGTATATAATCTATTAAAAGGGGGGGGGGGGAATAAATGACATAAAAATTGATATTTTGATTACTGGAATTTGTTTCTACATTTTATTGGGTAAAACACTCAGATTAGTATTTCATACCAATGAAAATTCGTATATTTCAATGTTACACAGACATAGGTCAGTTTGTCTGGCTAAGACCCTGGTGTTTTCCATCTGCTGTCGTTTATCTTTTTACTTCGTGTAGTTTGTATAGTTGGTTTATCAACTGATTCCAGACACGTGATTTTACAATTGCAATAAGATTGGTTCATTTTCAACACGTGATTTTACAACTGCAATAAGATTGGTTCATTTTCAACACGCGATTTTACAACTGCAATAAGATTGGTTCATTTTCAACACGCGATTTTACAACTGCAATAAGATTGGTTCATTTTCAACACGCGATTTTACAACTGCAATAAGATTGGTTCATTTTCAACACGCGATTTTACAACTGCAATAAGAGTGGTTCATTTTCATCACGTGAACTTACAACTGCAATAAGATTGGTTCATTTTCAACACGCCATTTTACAACTGCAATAAGATTGGTTCATTTTCAACACGCCATTTTACAACTGCAAAAAGATTGGTTCATTTGTTATGCTTACTTGGATTTGGGGTGTCGTTGAATCAAAAGCAGTATACATCATAGGTAAGACATCCGTTTTGATATCAGTCTTTGGCGTCTTTCTCATAATTATATCCAAGTTTTCTAGGAGAGTAACTGTAGCCTGAAAAGAACAAAAGAAAATGTGAAAATAATTTTTTACTAGTAACGTGTTACTACTACTACGTGTTACTCCTGGTTACGAGTAAAGCACTTTGCATGTAAATATTCAGTGGCATGAGAAGTTTATGTTGGGATAATTTCAGAGCCTCACGTTCGTTTATTATGCAGAACGTGTTAGAAAATAATTTATAATATACTGTCAGGGCCTTTACTATATCCTGTCTAACCACGTGTGAATGAGCACCATCACAGACGTGGGTGAAGCGTGCTCTTTGAGTGCATGCATATTTTGGAAGGATTGGAATATTCATACCTAGAACAGTTGTGCTTGGTTTTAAACCCAGGGACAACAACAACAACAATTGGTCGAATATTCTGTGGATTGCCGAGAGTTTTTCTCCCAGTTTCAAAATGATGACAGAATGGATCTTTAGACAGATCGGCTGAAATTATGATGTTGTAAGTATGTGGATGTGGTAGTTTGTTATAGTATGGGCTGCATTATGTGCAATAATAAGACCTATCCCTGAAATGTATGAATTTGAAGATATTAAAGAAACACTTTCCAGGAGTCACAGTGGTGTTTCGTTATTTTCTTATTCACAAGCTAACATGTTGTCCCTGTAGGGTAACACATCCTATCCCGTTGTCCCTGTAGGGTAACACATCCTATCCCGTTGTCCCTGTAGGGTAACACATCCCATCCCGTTGTCCCTGTATGGTAATACATCCTATCTCAAAGCATTGGGATAAATGTTTGGTTTCACAGTAACAGCATCAACATGTTGATATGGTCCTTGTTCTTTTGGCTGGTCGGCTTACTTCCCCCAGTTTATTTGTGGGTGGAATTATACATAGGAATTATGAATTAAGGCAAGAAATATACACTTTTTAAATACAATATTTAATCCTTAAAACTTATTCTAAAACATTATAAAAAAAATCCCATTAAGAAATCAAATGTGGGAATTTTACTCGAAGCCTTCAGGTGATACTTTTTTTAAATTAACTTTTAGTTTACCAACAATAATTATATATTTCACTAACACTGAAAATTGCATAACAAAAATATAAACAAAATATATTTAATGACTGTTTTTATCGTTCCATACCTGAACCGATTTAGGCATTCCGAATACACTTCGGAACATAGGAAGAATTAGCGTCTGGTACTCGTCTGCTGTGCTTTCTTCTATTATAAACATCAAAGGTTGCAGAGCTGCAGCTAACACCTCTGGAGACTGTAGTTCAGATTGTAAAGATGGCAAAACGTGCTGATACCAAAGTTTCTGATGGAGAAAATAAATCTGATTTAGGATCAATATTGAGATCTGCCCCTCTGGAGACTGTAGTTCAGATTTTAGGGATAGCAAAATTCGTTATAACCAAAATTTATGATGGAAAAAAAAAAGAATACGGAGACTTGAGTATAGGAAATGCAATCTGAGTTCTGAAATTATATTAATTAAAAGCAGCCATGAGATCATACGATTTAATTATTAGATTAATTACAATTAACTTATGTAAAAATGTTTGAACTTCGAAGAGAGGTTTGTGTTTTTAAGTGTTAACATTTATCCATAGTAAGAAGTAGACGAATTTCGTAATCGGAAAACAGTGTTGTTATATATATTTTTTATATACATAAAATACGATGTTTTTAATTCGTGCAGACATTTTATCGAAGTAATAGTTTCCTCGTCACACCAGTAGTTTTTCTCCTCCTCCTTTTCCACAACCCTAACACACACACACACAACCGCAGAACTACTTTCTGAGTGTACCTGCGCACTGTCGAAGTAATATTGTAATCCAATCGCCATGTTTACGAGGGATTGATATAGGATTTGAAGTCACACCAGTTGTTTTTCTCCTCCTCCTTTTCCACATCCCTAACACACATACACACACACACAACCGCAGAACTACTTTCTGAGTGTACCTGCGCACTGTCGAAGTAATATTGTAATCCAATCGCCATGGTTACGACGGATTGATATAGGATTTGAATCGGGTAACCAATATCCGCAAATCCAATTGCCTGGAATCGGAAACCCGATTTCCCAACCTGACTTCAGAGTTTACACGTCAGGATTTCCGAATCTGAGAACACGACTTGCGTTGTCAAGTAATCGCAACGACTAACTGGAACTTCTACAGAATCATATTGAGTATTATAGAATTATTTCCACCCTTCATATAAAAGGACGACTCTCGAGCTAGCATTGCCAGATTGCTAGGGCAATAGACCCCCGATCTGCTGAGTGCAGGGTTCGAATCCTGTCACAGAAAATGTTCGCCATTTTAGCCGTGGGGGCGTTATAATATGTCTATCAATCGCACTAGTTCTTGGTAAAAAGAGTTAGTGATGAATGGTGCTTCCCTCTATTCAATAATTTCAAAATTAAAGACTATTAGCGCAGATAGCTCTCGAGTAACTTTGCGCGAAAATTGAACTAGGAAGCCTCGAGGTAGCAGAAGGCCACAGAAACCTTTGTGTTTGTAATAACAACGCTATAAATACAAGCATAAACGTTTTACTTCGTGAAAAAAAAATCCTTATAGACACTCATAAAATAAAACGTACAACACTTTCTAAAATAAGGTTAAAAACACTTATCATTAATAAGAAAATTCACTGAGATGTAAAATAACTCTTATTATTATTATTAATAAGAAAATTCACTGAGATGTAAAATAGCTCTTATTATTATTATTAATAAGAAAATTCACTGAGATGTAAAATAGCTCTCGTGGAGTTAAACACCAGTGTTAAAACCCTTGGAAAAGAATCGCTTGTAAACATTAAACAGCTCTTTGTTCTAGGTTTATTGTATCTAGAAGTTACTGTGTGTATAATTACATATAAAACGTCTTACCCTTGGGATGTTTGGCAGCGCCCCCTTTAGACTGTGGTAGAAGTGAGACTTATGCGTTGAATCCTTCATTTGGATGACATCCAAATACTGTAGTGCATGGATTGAAGGATCATTGAAATACTTGATCTGTAAAGAGAAAACGTGCTTTATATCTTCACTAAATATAAATATAATAAATATTACAAAGAAAGAAACATTTTTTAACTTAAATGTATAAATATCTACATACAAAAACCCAGTATTTTAAGGCTTATAATTGCTGAAATATTTAAATTTGTTTTGAATCATTAACGTGTCATAAATTTAATTTCTTACCACAATTGGTGTCTTCTAAGTGCCATCTAGTGACAATTAATTATACTAATGTTTTTCTATCAATAGGTCTCAATAAATAACAAATTCATATGCCGTAATAGTTGATTATTTGTTACCTGTAATAACCCTTTATTATCTTTACGTGAAACTTGTAAATGTGCGTCTGATTTGAGGCCAGTGACTAGATAAAGTATACACGATTTCGAGTTTTCACTAAAATATCGCGTATTGTAACTGAAATTAAACATTTAGATCAGTACTATAATGATTAAAACTTATGATTTTGTTTGTCAATACGCAAAAGACGTTTACTCGTACAGCAGTAAACACTCGGTACGGAATGAATTCAACTTAGTCAAAACCAGTTCTTTCTTCACGTGACTTACTCAAAATCGGTTCTTTCTTTACTTGACTTAGCCAAAATCGGTTCTTTCTTCACGTGACTTACTCAAAATCGGTTCTTTCTTCACTTGACTTAGCCAAAATCGGTTCTTTCTTCACGTGACTTACTCAAAATCGGTTCTTTCTTCACTTGACTTAGCCAAAATCGGTTCTTTCTCCACGTGACTTACTCAAAATCGGTTCTTTCTTCACGTGACTTACTCAAAATCGGTTCTTTCTTCACTTGACTTAGCCAAAATCGGTTCTTTCTCCACGTGACTTACCCAAAAACCAGTTCTTTCTTCACGTGACTTACTCAAAACCGGTTTTTTATCCACGTGACATAGCCAAAATTGGTTCTTTCTTCACGTGACTTAGCCAAAATCGGTTCTTTCTCCACGTGACTTACCCAAAACCAGTTCTTTCTTCACGTGACTTAGCCGAAATCGGTTCTTTCTTCACGTGACTTAGCCAAACTCACTTAGCTGAAAATCGTGATCCGCTCTTTGGAGTTGTGAGTGCGTTATAAGGATGAGAGTGAAATCCTACTATTCAATTAGAGTAGCTCAAGAGTTGGCGGTGAGTGCTGTTGACTAGTTGCCTTCACTCTAGTTTAGCGCCTTAATCAGTGATTACATGTGTGTGCGATCTAAATTTCGCGGGAAAAGGAGTGTGCGATCTAAATTTCGCGGGAAAAGGAGGCATTATTTACCAACTTTGCATTATTTATAAATCATTAAAGAAGGCTTTTATTTTATCAAAGCTGGCTCCGTAGATTTGCAAATACATGTATCCGTTTAGCAATTTTTTAATATCAAATCTCGTGCAACTTTTTGCTTTTTTTTTGGTACTGTAAATTTTCATTTATAAGTCAGTTTTTAGGCTTAATAATTCAAGGCCTGATATTACCGGGCATTCTTTGTTAATAACCAGAGGCCTAATGCTCGTTTCCTGGAGCTCGTTAAGTTATTCGAATAGGAATCACTATTATTCTTAGCTTTATCTGAAACAATTACAGAACCAATAAATAATCGAAAAAAGGTTTCAACGATTAATCTGCTGTCATCGTCAGTTGTTTTTTTTTAAGTTTACGGACTTGCAACGTTAAAATCCGGGGCTCGATTTCTCGCGGTTGACAGAACAGATAGCCCAATGTGGTTTTGTTCTACAAAACAAACCATACAAACAAACTTGTTTTTAATTAAGCTTGTTCAAAGTCAATTAAACTTTTAAAAAGACTGTGTTATTGTACTGGTTGTACTTTGTTGACTGGTCAACATCAAATAAAACTTCTGTGATATCGATTTGTCTGGACAAGAAAAGCCTTAAATGTGTTATACTTTGAGCAGTTGAATGTATAAGGTAATATGCACGCAAATATGTCTAAACGATGATAACAGAGAGAAGAAGGACCTCCGATGATGCTTTAAAGGTCCAATTTTGTGGTTAGAAATGCTGTGGCTGAATGGCTGTTGTTAACTGGAGATAATAATAAACTAGAAATCACATAAACTGGAGAAATGGAAAGCGCAGATAGTCCTTGTGGAGCGTTTCGCGAATATCCCAAATATCTAAATTGATCGTAAAGGTCTACACTAGCTACTTATCTAACGATGAAATATATCCAATGGAACCAATATGGAAACGCTAAAACCACGTGGTTCCTTTATTAGGCCAGAATAACATTCCCTTTTATTGCACGTGTAACAGTATAATATAGTTTCACAAAGTAGAAGTGGTTACGGCACTCGGCTCGTGGGTTCGAATCCAGTCATCGAAAATGCTCTCCCTTTCAGTCGTAGAGGCTTGTAATGTAACGATCAATCCCACTACGCGTCGGTTAGGAGTAACCTAAGAATTGGCGGTGGGTGGTGATGACTAGCTGTCTTTCCTCTAGTCTATTACTGCTAAATTAGGGACGGCTTGCGCAGTTAGCCCTCGAGTAGCTTTGAGCAACATTGTTTGTTTGTTTGAAGTTAAGCACAAAGCTACATAACTGGCTATCCGTGCTCTGCCCACCACGGGTATCGAAACCCGGTTTCTAGCGTTGTAAGTCCGCAGACATACCGCTGTGCCACTGGGTGGGGGGGGGGGGGCGAGCAACATTCAACAAACAAACAAGAAGGTTCATAACCAAGCCAATTTGTGCAAATAAAAATTAATAGGGCCTCTAACACAACTGTTTCTTAAAATTCTAATAACTTAATGAATCACACACACACACACACACACACACACACACACACACACACACACACACACACACACACACACACACAC